GGGGGTGAGGTTGTTTTTTTTTTTTTTTTTTTTTTTTTTTTTTTTAAAATCCCTCTAAGAGTCCTTCTGCTGTCTCAGTGGATTGGGAGCTCGGTCGCTGTGATCAGCCCTCTGGGGCTTCCTGTGCCTAAAAAAGTCACCGCACGTAAGCAAAAATCAAGCGCCAGTCCCGGCAGCGGGAACTTCAGGGACACGTTTAATATTCACCATGCGCAGCCCTCCTCCCCGCGCAAGCGCTGCCGTACAAGTGGGTCACAGCACCTATTTTATAAGGCGGTGGGGCAGGCAGGGAGAAAGTTTTGGGGGCAGGAGCAAGGAGGAGAAGGGCAGGCAAGGGCAGGCGTCCCACCTGCGGGAAGGGGACGGCAGGATGATGCCATGGTCACTTTTGTGGCTGGGGGGGGGGGGGGTCCCCCGCCCCCTGCCGGGCTCCCCGGGGAGGGCCGGGCTGCTCCTGCCGAGCCGGCCGCGCTTTGCTGAGGTTCCCCAGCCCAGCAATAGGAATGTCCCGCTTTTTAATTTCCTTCTCTTTCTCCCCTCCCCTCCGCGTCGGAGCGCTGCAGAGTTTAATTGAAATTGTTAAACGACCCGTCACGGCTTTGGCCTTTCTCCCCGGCGATCAATCACGTCCCTGGGCTGGCCGCGCTCGCCAACAATGCGCCAGTTGGCCGGGGCAGCCGCCGCAGCACCGAGGGGCTGGGGCTCCCCGGGGAGGCGAGAGGCAGAGCCCTCCAGCCGGGGCGCTCGGCCCTGGGAAGGGGTGATGGCTCCTGGAGCCGGACGGTGCCCGCCAAGGTTTGAGTGTCCCCATCCCTGGACGGGCAGGGCATGGGGGACGCTGGGGTGATGCTGGGGGGCGGGTGTGATGCCCCCGCGATAGCTGAGGGCTGGAGGAGCCGTGGAAGCCGACGGGAGCTGGGCTCGCTGTTTGCCTTCCTCGAGGGAGTGGTGAAGGTTTTTGTTTAAACGCGTGCAAAGTGCAAAGAAAGGGCGGCAGCTGAGCAAACTGGCGTTAAACTCAAGGACAGGGAGCGAAACCCTGCCGGGGTTCAGCCACTGCCTCGAGGAGGTCCGGCCGGCTTTGACCAGCCGCTTGTCCCGTTTCACTGCCGACTTACTCCATTTCGCCAGCTATGTTGGGGCTTTCCAGACCTTGGATATATCAAGGACAGGGGTGGGTGCCTGAGACTCGGCTGTGTCTGGGCTGTGACCTAGCAAGTTGTTAAACGCTAGCAAAGCTTGTAGGAGATCTTGGCTTTATCCTCACAGCTGGGTTGGTGCCCCTCATCGCTGTGTCCTGGCAGCACAAAGCACAGCAAGGTTTTCCCAGGAGCAATGCTGGCCCTCGGATGCTGCTGTTACCCGTCCGGCTGGGCAGGAGAGGGGCAGTGCTGCTCTGCACAGCGGACAGATGTGGGATAACTCGCTCGCTCCCTCCCCCTTAAATTTCTCCCTAATCCCTAGTAGCTATATCAGCTTAAGCCCCAAAGCGTGAGGTTTAATATCTCTCCTGTGATGTTAGCCTTTGCCACTGGCACTCCGTGTCCTCATCCTCTGCGGAAACACCCGCCCTCCTTTCGTGTCCTGCCGGGCTTTTTCCTTCTCTCAGTGGCAGTGGATCCATAGTTGTTTGGGGAAGAAGTTGCACCTTTTTGAACCTTGGGGGTTATTTTACGATAATGTTGGATGCGCCTTTGTGCTGGCCAGCAAGCCCAGCATGCCGTCCCCCCTCACCTAGGAGGACCGTCCTCCTCTTTGCTGCTGCTCCCAAGGGAGGTTTGTCCTAAGCCCTGGGTGCTCCGGCTGCTCTGCATGGTCTGGCTGCAGGGAAGAGCCAGGACCAGCCTCGGGCCAGGATCCTTATCGTTTCAGGCTCTGTTACACCCGATGGCTTTCCCTGCTGGCAGTGGTGCAGGGATGTCTGGGCACTCTGCCCGCTCCGGTCCTGCCCCGGGTGGTGCAGGCGGTTGGACCCGGCTCTGCCACCGAGCCCAAGTGTGGCCCTGGCCACATCCCTTGAAGCCCAAGTTTCGAGGACGAGTTCCCAAGTGTCCTCAGCCATGTCCTCCCCTCCTCTCCCTGCGTGCTGTAGGTCTGACGGGCTGGACCGGCTCCGCAGCTGCACGCCTGCTTGGAAAGGCCGTGGGCACGCCTGCGGAGAGACGCTGAGAAACCCTGCCGAAACGGGCAAAACTCCCTCTTCTGCCGAGATCGAGCCAGGAGCCAGGCAAGGCGCCATGTCCAGGGGAGCCCGGCTGGTGGCCGCCCCACACCGGGGACCCTGCTGCCCCACAGCCTGCCCAAATCTGCTTTTGAATCAGCCCGCGGTGGGTGGGTGGGTGG